CAGCCGTGTGGCAAGCTCACCGGCCGTTTTAAAGGAGTTGAACTCAACCTGCCACTGCGTTTGATCTTTCTAGACATTAGCATACATTAGCCTGCGATTCCACAGAGGAGAGACGGACCTCCCCCATCACGCTGTACGGCTGGGCCACTGGGTCCTGAGACGCGGCACTGCAGTTTGTCGATTGACGGCTGGGAAGAAACGAGTAACATCGAGTACATGGATGCGTTTCTCCCTAGGCGTACAGCCCGAGTTCTGCAGGCCCGTAGAGCAGGAAGCATCTCAAACGATGTACAAATCTGCCGTTCACGTTTTAGCGTCCACCCACTGTCAAGTTCTCAAGCTGTTTCTTGCGCAAAACAAGTTCAACTCAAAAGAATGTTTTGCCAGTGCAGACACCTAACAGTGCAAATCAGTGTAGAAGATCACACCCAGGCAAAAAGCACCAACTCCAATTTGCTCTCCAACAACACGGGCCCAAATGGCCCAAACCACTCCAAGAGCCCGGGCCCCAAGCCCTCTCCCGGAGCGCAAAGGGGCCAAAAGCAAAGAAAAGCATCCACAGGCAACGACGACGACGACCGTTCTCGGCACAACCAAAAGCAACACAGCGAATTCCCCTTCGCACGGTTCCAACAGCCCAAAATGCAGGAAAGTACGTCCCTGCCACTTTTTCGCGACATGGAGCGACGCAAGCCTCCACGATGCCGAAAGCTTGGACCCTCCCATGAAAACTGCGGCCCGGTTCAGAAACAGCTCACGAATCCCGTGGGCAAGTCCGCGCCTAGGCGAGAGTTAACTGGTTGGACTCAAGACGAGCGCAAGCCAGCACCGCGCCTAGGGAGGCCTGTCCTGAAGCTTTTGGGGGTCCCCTCTTTTTCAGGGGCATTTTCAAGATCTTGCGCTGTCAATTGCAGTACTTCAACTGAGCTGGCCGAGCCAAGAAAATGGAGGCAAGTGGCAGCCGAGCATTCGGCGAGAATCTGAAGCCAAATGGAGAGAAATCGGCGGAAGTGCTCCATGAAGGGGAAACTATGCCTTGGCACAATACAATTTCCATGGACAACCCTAGGCCCTGAGTACGGAATGTCAAAATGTTCTGAAGACACCTAAGTCAATCTAAGTGTCTCTGCCAGCCTTGGCGCCATGTTTTTCAAGAATCGACAGAGATGCCGACGTTCCTTATGTTTGGACGCAGGACATGGCAGCTTCGCACCAGCTTCTGGTCATTAAAGCAGTTAAAGCCACCCTTTGGTCCAGAACCCTCAATATGAGAAGGGCCTCAACTGACCGATATGTGCGCAGGATAGAGGAGGCACCCATCCCGCTGTACGGACGAGAAGGGGCATGGTTCGAGGGGCAGCAGTGCTGCAGGAAGCTTGTGGAATGTGTTGATCGAAGCGGCTGCATCGAGACTTCGCTCTGCTAGGCCTACCTCAGTTTCGGTAGATCGCACCAGGAGCACCTGGGGAATGCCAAGAGATGAGACTGCACCTTGCACAAGAGGCAACCTAGATTGGGTGCCTCCAACTCATCGGCCAGCAGCTGAAAGTGCCTGCGTGCATGAGTGCAGTTCATCTCTTGCGGACAAATCGCATCGAACAAGCATAGCACAGCTTGTCGCTGACAAATTCTGCTTGAGGCAGAAACGACAAGCCGCTTCAGTCCATTGACAGCAAGAGAATGTATTTTCAATTTCGCCCCGGCTGGAAGGGGCTACAGCAGGCCTAACAGGTACAACGTGATTCCGTCAATGCCTGGCAATACCGCAAGGCTTCCAGCAATTCGTATTGGCGCAAACTCCGTCAGGAATCCGAACTCAAGGCGCTCACCACCGCACACAGACTTTCGCGGCTTGTGCTTGTGTGAGGCTATCCGCCCCTCAGGAAGGTTTTGTGGTCTTTCCTTTCCCCTTGCCCTTTAACATTATCCCGTTGTGCCATGTAAATGGTTCATGGGTAGCAACAGCTAGAGCCCTTTGTTGGAGCTCTGAGATGTGATTTCCATATAGTTGGATCCTGCTCGACTCGAAGCATGTTTTGTCAACATCTTGTGGGGAGTGCTTGCAGCGGCAGCAGGGCTCCACGTCCATGACGGAGGGAGGGCAAGTGGGGAGAGAGGGGAGGGGGGGGGAGTACAAAAGAGCTTGAGGGCTAAACGAATTGGCTGCCGAAGGAAATGCACTGACGGACGTCCCTAATTACTCATCGCTACCTGTGGGGCCAATTTGTTGGAAAAGGAGTACTTCCCGGAAGTTCATGTGCAAAAGGGAGCAGTTCATCTGCAAAGAAATAGCCAGCGCTCATAGGCTAGCTGTCGTGGTTTGGCCTGCAACTAATCACGTGGCACAACATGAGCCGGCCGCTCGTTGTGGGAGCACTCACACAAGCAGTGCTGAGCACCAGCAGCATCAGCATGTCTTATGAATAAAGAACCCCCAAACTCGAAGCACAATCTCGACGCACACGCAATGCGCGACAATGTGCCACGGAAGGGATCCCCCCCCCCCCCCCCGATGCCGATGCCTGGCCAAACTATCCTTCAGCATCTGTATTTGCTGGGATCTTTGTTGCAGATCATGGCCTAAGCTGGTTCCAGACGCTGTGTCTACAGCAGAAGGTTTCATAATCTGCCACGTCGCGATACTGAGCCATCTCACAAGTGAGTTGCCACAGGCCTCAATGCGCCAATATGTCCCGCCAAATGTTTGGTGAAACTCAAGTTCGCATATGTGTGACGACAAAAAGGCCGACTTACAAAACTCATCCAGCCCCCCAATTGGATTCGGGATGCTTCGGGTTATGGCTACGACGGCTAATTACAACTCAAGTTGGCCTTCATCTTCCCTGTCCCTCTCTGTATCTCTCAATCTCTTCTTCTTCTTCTTCTTCTTCTTCTTCTTCTGCTTCTTCTTCTGCTTCTTCTTCTACGGGGCCTGAAGAGCCCGAAGTCCCTCCGCGCTCAGAGCAACTGAGAGCGCCGCAGTGTAGCGAGAATACTCCCGATGCGGCCAGCACGAAAATGTAGACCATGTCCCGATGACCTGCATCATGCAAAGGTAAGCAATAAGCTTCCCAGGCTTGCCCTTCTCAACGCACACGCGGCATTTGACTGGTGACTGGTGAGTGGCCACTGCACATATCTTCTCGCAACACTCATCAGACCAGGCAGCTCCAATGCGTGTAGTCCTCTAAAACTCTGGCAATGAGCACCACCTTGGAACAAGCAGCATATTCCGCAATTGTTGATATCAGCCGCCTCGATCCGGAGTTGGCTACTACGAGCAGCCCCTGCTGCTGATGATGACGGAACTCTTGATGATCATGCGAATGATGTGGCATTCTTTCCGCTGCATCATCAGCCACAGCTGCAGTGCGCGTTGCATGCCCGTCCGAGCTGCAGGGCTCGCATATGTGGCCGTTTATGCTGCCAAGCTGCATTAGTTGCCGTTCCCACCAGCAGCACGAGATGGGGCAAGCCTCTGCGCACAGAAATCATGCCACGTGGCTTTCAAAAGCAAAGCTGCCTGTTGCATCATTTCATGCCGCGTTGCTTTGAATGACTCGCAGGTGGCGAGGTACTAACCTCGGCTGCAGCTGCCATGGTGCACCGGCACGCCGATACATCCTACTGCGACTTCGAGATCAAGCTGCGGTCTGAATCCTTGAGTCAAGCCTCGGTATTGAGAGCCGCCATAGAAAGTTGAGTTATCTCGACATGTACTTTGAAAATGTTCTTGTATATCTAGATACAGAATTACATTCCCACCCCCAATTGGTTCAAAATCCTGGAAGCATCTGCCCGAGTGCTGTTTTGTTTGCCACTCGGACGCTTTGCGGATCATGCAATCATGTGGTGGATCAGTGTGCTTTGCGAATGCCGTCCACTGCTCGTCGTTTTTCCAAGACTGCTGGCACGGCACCTACAAGACCCTACATGTCTACGTCAACCTTCTCCTCGTCCCAGACTTCCTATAGATAACCCCAACCTCGAAATGAGTCTAGCGAGCCTAGCATCTGACAAATCTGCCGGACGCCACTTGCCATATAGGAGCGTGTACAAGGAGGGACTTAAATGGCCCAGCATCCAGAACGGCTCCAATGGAAAAACCCAACCTCAGGCAACAGAAAATGCCAAGGATCGGAAACAGAATTGCACGCAGCTTTCATAATATAACGATTAACGCTGCAGCAGGATCCTGCTATGTAGGGCTCCAGACTGCGTCTGGGCTCTTGATCTGAAGCCATTGGCAGGGCACAACCTTACACGGATGACGTGCGCTGCGAGAAATAAATCACTTGCGCCGCGATTGACAGTTCCAGGCTGTTTCACACTTGTCATCGGAACGAGCAATGAGCTGTGCCAGTGCGAAAACTGTGCCGAGAATCTGTCTGCGAATAGCTACACACACTTTTCAAGGAAATGTCGTACCGCCTCTTCTGCAATTCCAGTCTGCACTCTCACTGGGAATATGAGAATGCACGAAAACATGTGAGAAGTTGCCTCCAGCACTGCCGTAGCTCGTGCCCACCGCAAGGCTGAGGCTCCGCCGCTGCTGCTGCTGCTCCTGTTGCTGCTCCTGCTGCTGCTGCTGCTGCATTTTTCGGCTTTGTACGCAGCAAAGAAATGAACTTCACCTCGGTTGCCCGAAGCCACCAAGACTGACTGTCCCACTGACCTTGAAACGAAAACATGCAGCAAGTACGAGCACCACGCATTAGAACCATGACCAGGTTAATAAATTTCTAGTTGTGAAGTGTTGTGTCCAATCTCGGCAGGTTAAGGCAGGTACGTCGTCCGAAGCGTTCGGACGGGAGGCCTGACTTAGGATGGATCGTGCTTAGAACATAATTAAGCCTTGGGCCGAAAGTGCCACGAGTTTGCATGAAATAGCACGAAGCCAGGGAGGACTTTGGTCAAATCATGCCAAATCGAAGCAAGCATCGCATGCATGGCTTTCAGAAGTCTAACCGTAGTGAGACGACAGCATCTTGGAGTCAAGCGCGAGCGGCGAGTGAAGCACGTCGGCAGCCAACCAAGCTCCTCCATCGCAGCGGCTGTTGGTACCAGGAGCATCCACGCGTGCTTAAGGTGTCTGCAAGGGTATCAACGGGCTCCGCCATGCCCTCCAGCTGATAAGCATTTGCAGCCTGCAGGATGGTAAGCTTTTGCATGGTCACACATGCAACTCAATTTGACTTGTCAGATCATGCCTATTTGATTCCTCGCCCTCAACGAATCCGTTTCCGCAGCTCCCAACAGTGACCATGGTACATGTGTTTCTCATGCATCAGCCAAGCAGCCTGCTCACATCTTAGTTGAATGCTTTCATGGTCATGGAGCAAAGAACGCATGCGCCATGCAAGCAAGCAAGCAAGCAAATGCCGTGGCCGGGCTGGCCATGCGAAATCCAAGCTTCGTGAACTGACCAATGTTGCTGACGGCTGCAGACAGCACCTTTGACAACTTCGATGCTGCCATATGCTGCCCTATATAACCTGGGCACGCTACCCACCTACGCCAAGGCTGGATGAAACAAAAACCGATACGTCGCAATTAAGAAATGCTGCACGCCCTGCATGCAGCGCAGGATCTGGCGTGCCCTCTCTTTGGGCATCGGCAAGACGAGATCGACATCAACAAGCATGCAGCATGCATGGCCGCGCTCAACAAGAAGTCGCAAACTGCACTCTGTGCAAAAAAATGTCAAGAATCCACGGAATGCCGTTGAGCCACAACCCAACTTTTCACCAGAGCTCCACCAGTAGCTTCTCCCACTAACGTCAATGTGCCGCTCTGCCAGTTTCTGCAGCAGCGAATCAGGTCAGCTTACGGACTTTGACAAACCCCTTCCTTCGCGCTGTGTCCGCAAGCACATTGCCCTGAGATCCGTCGACTGGACTAATGTTCAGAACATGGCACTTGAATCTGGGTTACGGGGGTTACGTGGACCATGAGGCGCCGCTGTGCGCTTTCGAGCAGGTTTCTGGGTTCCCTCATATTCGCTGATGTGGAGGTCGGCTGCTTTAAAACCTCCTCTTGAGTGGGAGAGGGGCAAACCTGTACAAGGGGCTGATTTTTCCTCTCGTCAAAACCCAATCACCAAAGGTGTTGAGGTCAAAGCTTGTTTGTTGAGCGTTCCACGGCGGCTCTTGAAAACCAGCATCCATGAAAAAACCAAGGCAGATATGATATATTAGTATATTCCCTGCAAGGAACAGCGGTGTCAGACGAGCGGGACCTTTGAAATGTGATTTCGGCAGGGGGATTGGTGGCCAATGCATGCCAGCACGACTGATTTTGCGCCGCGCAAAAATTCACACCGAAATATCAGCGACATTCGAAAATGCCCGGCCACGATGACGCCTGTGCCCTATTTTTGTTTGGGGGGGCGGGGGGGGGCGGGGGGGGGTATAGGAGTGCCTCAATACAAATATGGGCGGTTACGGGCCTAGCTTTCGTGTTTACTTGCTCGATCTTGCTCGCCTATGATCGACCCACACCGGCGTCTCCCAAAGCAGGCCTTAGGCGAGCTTCATGGAATGACCTAATCTAAAGTCGGAGAGAATCGGGTTCACTAGGTCCTGACCGCATCTCATTTGTTGATGAGATGTGAGAGAAACTATGGGCAATGATCGGTGTCCACTTGCGCTAGACTACTGCTTCAAGGACAGGGAGCGCATCGTGCTTGTTGAAGGTACGTGCCCGAATCACTGACCGCCGCCGTTTCCGGCAGCCGTGTTGCTGCATCATGGTCAGGGATCGGCTAGACCCACGCAAAACTCACGAATACACATGATGCCCCAACAGGGCTTGCATAGACTGGGCCAAGGGCCCAGAGTGCGCACCGTGAGACCGTGATGCACGATGGCACTCTCTCTCTATACTCTATACAAATTGAAATACAAGTATAATAAAAACCCAAAAAACACATCAATATACATAGATATATATATATACATATATATATATACATACATATATATATACATATATATACATATATATATATACATATATTATAATATACATACATACATACATACATACATACATACATACATACATACATACATACATACATAATTCTTTTTGATATTGACGTTGAAAGATGGCACGACTCGCCGTGACTCGCGCAACATGCAACACTGCGGCCACAGAACGCCAGCATGTCGAATTACACGCAGGCATGGTCATCAAGTTGTGCACGAGGGGTCCTCCATCGAAGCTTCACCATGCTCGTCTGAATGCCTTATTGCAAATTGATGGTATCATGACGGTCGGCAGGCCACTTGTCACATGGTCTCAGCTGCGTAATGCCCATTTCGGCACAAAGTTCTTCCAAAAACAAATGGTAGGCAAGTGACCGACACCAACGAACAGTGGGAAGACATACGAAGAAATCACGATCATCATGGCGATGAACAGGGCCTCTAATGCCCATGCACACGCATCATTGGTAACATGCTCATGCATTGGCCCGTCGCTGCGCCGTGCCTGCGGAAAAACTCTGCGTGGATCGCGAACTTCCCCGGCAAGGGTTGATGCACTGTCCCAATAATTCAGATTCCAGAAAAGAACATTCCTTGCGTGCATGATGAGTTCAAAGATGTTCAAAGCTTGCTTACTGTCCGCTGACAATCGCCAAGCAATACCTGAAATCCTGAAGCTCGACCGTGGCCCCCAAGACCCACTGTTCAAAAACAATGACTCCCACACGAATCAGCAGCGTGCCGCACTGACGGTAGACTTTTTGTCACCGGCTTAGGCCGCTTTATGAAACAATTACGAGTAGAGTCAAACTGTAAATGGCCGAATTTGAACACAACGGTCAAAAAAGGCTAAACGCATGCCATGGGAACACCCGTGTCTAGTACTGCCTGCCACACCAAACGGTGCAGAGTAAATACACATGCCTGCTTCGAAAACACAACATCGAACGTGATCGAAGTGCTGCCGAGATTGCCTACGGTAAACTCCAAAAAATTGGAACATCCTTGTCCACATATTCCAAAATGGTATACTAAAGGGACTAGTCATCCTTAAGCCATGTTCCTTCCGGAGTTTACGAGAGGGCCTGCCTTGGGGCCTTGGACCAGGCCTCCGCAGATCTCTGCAGTGCCTGGCCCTCCTCTTTGGCTCGGGTGCCATTGCCCCTTCAAATTTTTGGCCTCGTTGTGGTTGTCCGGCGCTGCTATAGACTACTTGTTGTACGCCCTTGGCAAACTTGATCGTCACGCCGTTTCGTTCTTCGTGGTCCAATTTTTCGGGACAGAATTTGGTCAAGCTCTGGTAGAACTCAAGAAGCTGCAGGGTATTCATCGGCACAGAGTAGCAACCGTCCGTCCAGCATAAGCAATCCAAGAGTCAAGTATTTCTGCCAATCCATTTCCTGAAGCTTTGGCCTCGTTCCACAATTGCATTGACTTTCGATGTCACCTCCTAACCGGTGGAAAAGTCAACGCAATGCATTTGACAGGCGCCCCACACGACCAGTAGGTTCGCCTTGCATGATCACCGAAGAGGAAACAGCCCAACGAACAACAGCATAAGGCACGGACACGTGAGATACGTGCAACACTGCAACACAGAAAGGTAAACTTGATCCGACCTGTGCCGACTTACTGCAAATGCGAATGACTTACTGCATCCCGATCGCCAGTTGCACCTCAGGCAGACCAGCCAGAACTATGTACAAGAATGGCAGTATGGTGAATATCGCCAAACCCACGGCCGACCTGAGCTGCTGCAGGACCAACGAAGGCAAAGGTGATGCGAAGCAATGACAAACCAACTGGTCCACGTGGCCAGCCCATGATGTCCAAGCCAATGAAGTTCAGCCAAGATAACGCCAAGGTAAATGTGAGTGCGCACAAGATGCCTCAACACTGTGGATCGCTGCAGTGACGACGCGAAAGCCCTAGTAATCGCTTCCCCCTAATACTAAAACCCCCCCTTAATTTCAAATATTTTTTTCCCGGACCCTGCCGGCACCCAGCTCAATACTAAACCTGTTTGAGAATTAGGGGGGGAGGGGTTCAGGGCCTTCGCCCTTGAGTTGAGCCATTAGGGTTTGAAGGTTTAGGGCTGAAGGCTGACAGGATTAGGATCCAGGGCTCAGGGCTTGGAGGGCTTAATTATGAGGTTTCGGAATTCAGGTTTTAGGATTTAGACCCCCCCTAGTTTTTAATATTTTTCGGGCCCAGCGAATCTCAGAATTAGGGAGGGGGGGGGGACGGATTTAGTATTAGGGGGAAGGGATTAATGGATAGCCAAAGCTCGTGGTGTCCCGTCAGCTGCTGCGGGCAGGATATGTTTCAAATAATCACAAAATAAAACCTCAGCTCACGTCCAGGAGCCACCAACAAACAACCCCCCCCCCCCCCCCCCCACAATCCACTGATTGCTTGTATCGTTGTTTAGTTGTGCCAAGATGCCGGATAAATCGAGTTGTCGCTTACGCCAGACACCCACGACAGAAACCCTTCCTGATCAAAACGCAAACATGGCGGCGCTTGCACTAGATCAAACGGCACAAATGCCGATCATGCATGTCACACATAAGTCACAAAAGGCACTGCGGGGTTTGCTGTCTCAGCTGTTTCTGCTTCAGCTTGGGCTCCAAAAATCCCCAGAATGGCCCGAAAGCAGCCTTAGCATCTCTTTTTTCTGGTCAATGTAAGAAGTGTGGTTAGCAAGCGACACTCAGGTGACACACACGCGCACACACACACACACACACACACACACACACCCACACCCACACCCACACCCACACCCACCCCCACCACCCACACCCACACCCACACCCACACCCGCACCCACGCACCCACCCCACCCCCCCAACCCACCGACACACGCACGCTCGCTAGCTCGCTCGCTCAAACACACTCAAAGCTAATGCAATCTATCACTGTGCATCGTCGAGTGCCTGAAATGTGCCGAAGTGCTGTCACCCAAGTCACGTAACCAGCGTTAGATGGGAAGGCAGTGGCGAGTTCGGCAGCCACAAGGGCCTCAAACATGTGAACAAACTGCGCATGGCGCCTGGTCTATTGAATATATCGTCATCATGCCATGACCAATGACCTCTGGGACCGACCAGACGGCGGGCATCAACACGAAGCCAAGCACACCGAGCAAAGGACCTGCACAGAAAAACCAATTGAGCCGCGAAACCCAGAATTATCTAAAATGTATCTAGAACCTGCTTACGCTTGCAGCGTTTGTTTACGCATGTTTTATTGTTTTGCATGGGCTGGTGCTTCTCTTCGAATCTCCTGGCACGATCACAATCTCTACCATCAGGGATTTGGAAAGACTGGATTTTTACCGCACTGTTCCGGGCGCCGGTCGCTATGCCAGACGTCCGCGCCGAGGGCGGCGATTCTTGGGGGAGCTAACCTCGAGGAGGTGCCCTGCCCGATCCGACGTTGTGACTCCAGAAACGCGCCGAGCCGTTCGCCAGACCGTAGCGACGTGCTCGCAGCGACGAGGGAATCGTGTTGCCTCAAAGGCCCGCCGCTAACGGTTCGGTTGTCTCCTCTTGCGGCATCTCACGCAGCGCGCCCTCCGCAGCAGGGCCGGGACTGTGAACCGGAGCTTGTTCAGGATAGCCCCGCGAATGATAGTGTCGTTCGCAGCTTTCAGCCAGGCAGTGGGACACCTGTGGGATCCCCAAGCCCCTATGGAACCTCTGGGCGGAGTCCTAGAGTCAGAGAGAGTGGGCCGATCTGTAAAGGATTGGAGAAGATGCCCTTCCCTCCCGCCTATGCCTATTTCTCATTTGCCCTCTAGACCTCCAAGGATTGCGGGACTCCTGAAGAGCCAGTGGGGCGACCGCAGCATGCAACAGGCGCTGCGTCATTTTAGTCTGCGTTTGGCCTACGGAACAGTGCTTTGCCTATGTTTCGAATGAAATTTGAATATGGGAAAACAAACACATGAGCAAGTTATGGGCACTGCTACGCAGGATAATTCAGCCTGCCCCGGTCCGGGACACCACCAGCACGCAACACCGCCAGGCCACCGCCCCAGGACCTCCGCCCCACGTGCTGCCATTCTGTTGCCCCCGCATTTCCTTGCTGACCCTGTGCATGCGTCATCCGACAGCGCGTGGGAAGAGCTCCCTGACCGCCACATGCACTGGGCCCCGGTTTATCGGCACGAGGCCAATGCCTGGGTTCCGGAGTGGGTGTGCTTGCGCTGCAACGCCACGATCGATGAGACCCACCCCATGCTCAACCAACTCCCCCAGCAGCCTGTGTGCGCCACACACGGCCCAAGGCGGCTCGCCATAGACCTCCGCGAGGGATCGTGCGGGTGGGTGTGTTGCCAAGGCTCCCCACCGCAGATTCTGGACTGCCCCCGTGAACGCCTGCCGGCGCCCGCGCTGGATTCCCCCCGGAGGCCCCTGCGCCAGCGCAGCACAACCTCCAAGCAGGGTGGTGTCAACTGCGACCTGGGCACCCCCCCACAGAGGCAGGCCATTGGCGATCACCTCAATGCGCCTGTCATCCTGACGGACGGGGTCAAGATTGAGATCTCGGACGAGGACGTTGAGGGCAACCGTCGCCCCTGCTTCTCTGCAGACCCGGGCGGCCGCTCGCTCCAGCGGGCCAGCACGTGCGCGCAGGTTGCCTGAGCGCGGACACGCAGCGCGGTGATCGCCAAAAGGGTCTTGTCTTGCTTGGCATCGACATCTGGCAGCTGCGAGGGGCAGGGGGAGGCGGAGCCTGCGCAACAGGAGCACGCGAAAAAGCGGCGATGCCAAGGAAAACTCAGGCAAGGTGGGGCGGGCAACGAAAACTCGCGCAGCATGCGGACCGGCTTGCGAGAGCAGCCGGGCAGCGGAGGCCGAATCTGCTTCGATCTGCTTCGCGTAAGTGGGCACGGTGAGCGAAGTCATCGACTGCCTGGGAAGCGGGGCGCTGCCGGGGGGGCCGGGCAGTCGGCTTCAAGGGCGGCAATGAGCCCGTGAGCATGGGCGGCATCACGCCGAGCAATGGCTCGCAGCGAGTCGGCCCAGGAGGCCCAGTAGGCCGCAGGCGCGTGCCTGGCGGCACTCCGCAGACCCAAACCACCATGCCGCAAAGCAAGCTGCGCACGGGCCTGCGCGGTCTCCGGCAAGGCAGTCCCGGCGTCAGCATACAAGTGTGACTGGAGGCAGCCGAGGACTGCAGCGTCATGGCTTGCTGCATACCCTCGCGTGTCATCGAGCGGCAAGGTCCGGATGGCATACTGCGAGCGCGGCGCAGCACAGCAAGAGAGCAGCAGCCACGCAACCTGGGAGACCTGGAGCTGTGGGAGGGCGTCCAGCAGCCCGGCCTGTCGCGCCAGGACATCACGCAAGTGGGCATCGACAAACTCCCGGGTACCGAATGGGACACCGAGTGCGACAAGACCGCGCTGCGCCGGGGGGAGCGAAAGGTCGCCAACCCGAACTGGAGAGTCCGGGGCGAGAGCAAGCACGCCCGGTGGCAAGGTGCCAGCAGCATTCCAGACCCTGGTTTTGGCAGCATTTAGTTTGAGGCGGGCGTATGCGGGCGTGGTACCAGAGGAGGTGCTCCAGGCGCCGGTACAGCTCGACGACTCTTGCCGGGGAAGCAAGGATGCAGACGTCGTCAAGGTAGGCTAAGGCCTGCTCGCCGGCACGGTGCTGAGGCTGCAACGCTCGGAGGGCGGGCTGCAAAGCGAGCGAAAACATGGCCGGCATGAGCGGGTCTCCTTGCTCGCCGCCCTCGGCCCCTGAGTAATGCGGTGAGAGCAGGCGCCGGCGTCCCAGACATAAGCCGATTCCCTGGCATACCACAACCGAGCGAAGGGTTCATCGCGGAGTGCCGCGAGCATGGCCTCCCGTCTCACAACATCATATGCATTCATATGCTGCCGCAGCGTCGACGGACAATACCGTCAGGCTGGGGTCGGCCTGCGTGCGGGCCTGCAAGGTGCGCACCAGCGCCTCCGCTCCTTCGCAGCTGCGCGGACTTTCGCCGCCAGTTTTCTGTCGCTCCCGCTCGGTGGCACTGCCAACGTTGATGGGGACCCCCGCTCCTCAGCGAGGTCCTCGTCGAATCCGCCATCCCTCCCCCCATTGCCAGCCGCCTCCCGTGAAGGCTTGCGAGCCTTGCCGTTGCGCTGCACTGGGACCGCTTGGACCAGCAGGAAAAGGTGCGAGGGTGAAAAAAAAAAAAACACATTCCAAAACCATATCCGGGCCGGTGCATCCCGGCATGGCCGAGGGCAACAAGGCCTGACCAGCTGCACTGCGTCAGCGTTCCACCGCCCACCCACTTCGCAGCCGAGCACGCACATGGTTTGCGCGCCAGTAGGTGGCGGGCTTGCGCCAGGAGGCGGTGCGCAGAACATCTCCATCTCGCGTGCCGGGGTGGGGCTGGCACGCGTGAGCAGCGAAACGAGGGTCGCATCGCAGCAAAGGGCTCCACCCACTGGCGCGGCGCCGAGATGACGAGGTCAAGGCGCCTGCGAACGGTGGGCGGGACGCTCGGCGCAGTGGTGTTGACGAGAGTGTTGACGAGCCCTTGGGTCTTTCGGTATGAGTGGTTCGCCTTCCTTCCCAGGCTACAGGTTAGGTCCGGCAGTGTGCGTTGGCGAAACGCTTCGGGTAATTTGCCTCCCAAAATAGAGTAGCCTGGGACTATGTCACATAGCCGCCTGCCTGCCTCGGAGATCCTACGTCGCTCTTTTCTCAGACAGCCTAACTTCGCCCAGGCAGCACCCGTAAGATAAAAAAACGAAGTGCGTTTGAACAGAGTTGGGATCAAATGGGTTTCCGCTCATTACTTGGAGTGGATCACGCGCTTGCTGTTCTTGACACGGTTTTAGTGGAATTTTTTTTTTTCCCTTACGCACCTTTTTACTCGCGGGGAGTCTGCTCTCTTCCTGCTGCCGCGGCTGCTGCTGCTGCTGCTGCTGCTGCTGCTGCTGCTGCTGCTGCTGCTGCTGCCGCTGCTACTACGAGCAGTGGGTCTAGGGCGGCAGCGGCCCATGCCCCGGCCTGCTGGGCTGGGGCGGGGGGGCACCCGCTAGGAGCTCCCCCAGAGCGAGCTCCTGCCCGTCGAGCGGGTCCACCGGTTCACCCACTGGAAGCTCTAGCAGCGTGCACGCGTGGGCGCGGAGCGCCGCGAGCGCTGCCAGGGTGGTCCACCGGCGCACCATCGCTTGGCGGGCCGCTGCCGCGCACCATGGCGCGCGTTGGCGCGCGCGGGCGCGTGCGAGCAAGCGCAGGAAGGTGAGGGTGCTCTGGCTGAAGCGCCCGCCCAGTTCAACCCCGAAGACGACCAGCTTGCAGCGGCGGGCGCACCGCAGTTCTGGGTACGCTCGCAGTTTGCGGTCGACGGCCTGACGGAGGGCGAGTCCCGGTTCCCGATCCGCCTGCGGGCGGGGCTCGCCGTCACGCCTCAAAGGGCTTACGATCGTGGTGTCAACCGCGATCTGAGCCCTTGCCAGATCGGCAGGTTGTTGGCGACGACCTCGATTCTGCGCCCGTCCGCGGCCGGAAGATCGAGGTTGAGATCGCGCAGGGAAACATTCGTGGCAACCCGCGCTCCTGCCTCGCGGCAAATGCGTGCTGCTGCACGTTCGAGGGGGCCAGCACGACGGGCTAACACCCCGACCTGCGCGCACGCGGACCGGTGGTCCCCGAGCGCGTCGAGGTTGCCTCCGCAAGGGCATCGCGCGGGTGTAAGCGGCAGCGGTAGCCTCAGCCGGCGAAGCAGCAGGATGCGGTACTCGGCATCGGGTACGTCCGTGTCCCGGCTCGTTGGGAAGGCTGTGAAAGCGCAGCTCGCGGCGTCGCCACTCTGCGACAGCAGCAGTGCTCGAGACGCAGGGTCAAGATCTGAAAATAGCGTCTCGAGCACGCGCTTGTCAGTGGCCGTCGTTGCCGCGTGCTGCCAGCCCGGCCGTCCGATGCCAGGTTCGCGCCTGCCAGGAGGTGCTTCGGAGTCACTTTCGAGCAGCGTTGCCCATGAGGGTGCTCGGAAGCCTTGCGCTCGCAAGTACTCTGCGGCCTGAGCGGCAGCGCGAGTGCTTGCGGGCGTGCCAGCCGCCTCTACATCGAGAAGTGGGCGGACAAGTTCTGCAAGGACGCCCGGCTGTCGGTCACGCAGCACCTGCAACGTGTCCG